CAGTTTTATCATGTTTTTCAGGTCAGGACGTCGGGCCGGGAGCATGAGCGTGACGTTACGGGGACTTCAGGATATTTGTATTTTGGACTGTATAATTATTATGACGACTTACGCTTCCGCTTATGATATTTTGATGACTTGTTATGATATTTTTGACGTACTCGTTTTGACGAACTTATTATTTTTGACGAACTTTTGAGAACTTATGAATTCAGTAACCGGACGATTTTATTAAATTAAAACAACGGTTTTCTAAGTTAAGTCACGATTTTTAAAGGTAGCACCCCGAATCAGTTTTCGCAAAGTAAAAAGGTGTTATTTTAAATAACTTTGCGAAATTTGCGCTACTCTGATTTAACAATAAGGAGGGGTGTTACACAATCCTTGCTCTCACCCAACCAGGTAGTGTTGAGGCAACCAAAGCTACCAGCAAGAACAAGAAGTTGAAAACAGTCCAATCTAAGGTGAATGTGGCTAGCCTTCAAGGGCCACATTCTACTACTCCTTATAACGTTATTTGTATAAATACGAAAGTCAAAACTTCTTTTTGTAAGTACGATATTAAGTTTCAATTTAATATGTAATAGATGATTTTATATTACTAGTATGAGTCCCGTGCAGTGCACGGGTAAATAATATTCACTAATATTTATAAATTAAAAATTCTTATTAAGTAATATTTATGAATTAAAAATATGGAATCAATATGATACGGTTACATATTCTAATTTATTGAAAATGTTACATAAAGTTTAAATTATACAAAATTACATACAAATATCTATTTAAAATTAGTACACCCCGTGTGGTGCACATAACTGATAATAATTCACATTATATACGTTTCAAAATAAGTATCATTTCAAAATTTTTATTCAGAAATTCGATTTGACTATAATGTGATTTCATAAAATAATTATTTTTGGTAAAATGTTATCATATATTTAACAACCTATGTGATTAATAAGTATAAAAATAAAATTTATATCATTTCATTACTTATAAATAATTGGCTATTTCGTTTACGTCCAAGTTAATATTGATCAGTAAGTTATTGAGTAATTTATTAAATTATAAATAATTAATTTTTATTTCGTTTACGCCCAAGTTAATATTGACCCGCAAATTATAAATAATTATCTTTGTATTTTTAATTTTCAATATTTTTTATTTGTTTTTCGATATATTATATACCGAATTTAAATCATGCAACTAATAAAGGTAGTAACTACAAGTTTTGTCAGTATATTATATTCCAAATTAAAATCATGCAACTAATAAAGGTAATAGCCGCAATATTTAACCAAAATGATTCTGTACATTAATTAAGGTGGGATTTTTCATATTTTGGCCAAAAAAAAAAAATTACTCAATATAGTAAATACTTTAGGTGGAAAATTACATGTTTTATTTTTTACTGATTTTTAGTTGATATTTCAAGTAAATATCATTGCTCTTATATATTAAGAGATTGAAAAAATCTCCATAATTTTTTATTATGCCAACCATATTTGAAACTTGTGAATATGATAGATTTTATATTGATTTTTTTTTTTAAAAAAAAAAATCATTTGTAACATTTTAAGTACCAAATATAATTGAACTTCCAAAAATCAAATAAATATATGGATTTTTTTTTTTTTTAATTTGCGATATATGATTGGACACTAAAAACATTAATATACGGGTCGATTTATTAAAATAATTTTCGGCTTACTTAAACTAAGGGGGTGTATTCGATTAGGATTTTTAAGGATTTTTTAAGACTTTAGAAATTTTGTTGTATTCAATTTGGATTTTTAAGACTTTTTAATACTTATAAAAATCTTGGGGTATTTAATTGGGATTTTCAAAAGTCTTACAAAATCATGAGTTACTTAATTTATTTGACACTAAGATTTATTAAGATTTTTTAGATTTCTGGTGGGATTTCTAAACAATAAACCTTAGACAAAATCCCATTTCAAATCCTACATCCAGACTTAAAAGATTTCATAGAATTCTTCTCAAATGTTAAAAATTCTAAAAATGATCAAATCTTAAAAGTCTTAAATATCACTTAAATTCCAAATTGAATACACCTCGTAAATGAATCATGGTTTTAACTAAATAGGAATGTTGCCATTTAATTGTTTGAAATGCAATATTGTGTGCTAATTTATTTATTCAACAAAAAGTATTGGGGATTGTCCAAAAAAATCGACATACTTCCCAAATGTTAAAAGTGGATTTGTTTCATATTAAATGTTAATTTATATTCACCAAAATATTTAGGAGTGTAAAAAAACTGATATCCTTTCCAAATGGTAAAGTAGATTAGTTTTTATTAACAAACATAATCTGAAATGTTTTAAAGTTGATTTCATCATCAAATTTCGGGAAATTTTAAACGGCAATGAAAAATTTGGGATGTTGACAAAACTTTTGAAATTTGCCAAAAAAACTAAAAAAATAAAACTATCCGATAACAGGCACATGTGCAAAAATTTCAAAAAGTTACTTTTTTTAGTTAACTTTTTAGGCGGGATTTCATCATATTTTTTAGTTACTATTTTAGAATTATTTGAGTTGTCTCTTTATATATTAATAGATTCATTGCAGTTATCTCCAAGACACAATTAATGGGTCAAATTGGAACAAGAATATCGGAAATCGTGATGATACATATATTACCGTATAACAACCCCTAAAAATAAAAAAAGAGATCTTATTTCTCTTACCAAATCTTGTATTTTGTGTTTCTTCACCTCATACGAGACGAAACAGAGAAAAAAAATCCCATCGAATACTCAAACTCATATTCCTCCGTAGATTCATCAATGGCTAAACGAATTGTGATGTCACTTTCATAATTTCTGCTCAAAAGACCATACCTTTCAGTATATTGGGTTGTAAATTGTGATGGGCTATATTTTAGTTGCAAAAGATCAAAAAATTTAAAAGATTAAAAAAAAAAAAAAAAACAGCGACGAGACTGGTGGTTTCAGTTTAACGCGTCGTCTTGATAGGTGGAAACATCAGATCATTTGTCATTTGCACGCACTACACTCAGTGGAACACTGAGTAAATGTGATTCCGATTCTGGAGATCAAATCCTCAATGTCAATGGCTACTCATCTCCGATGCCTTTCTTCTATATTGAGTCTCTTTCTCATTGTTCCCTTGGTCCTGAACGGCGGCGTCCTCTGCAAGACGCTTAAGCGAGACGGTGATTTTCTCGATCCATTATTTTTCTATTTTACTTGCATTTTAATGTTCGGTTAACTTAATCTGGAAGAAAATTCGGTCTATTGACACATCCGTTGGTTTGTATGAGCTTTTTCAACGATTGATCAGTGTGGATTGCTTTTCGTGGAGTTGTATGTTTGTTTCTGTACTGCATTCGGATTTTGAGTGTTGAACAGGTTCTAAGTTATTGTGAAATTCATTGTTTTCTTCAATTAAGTTATGAGGGTAGGTTCATCCTTTACGGATCTTGTTAAAGGTGTAGGATTGGAATGAATGGTACTAGGGTTAGGAATTTTAATCTAAAAGAATGCGTATGTGCAGGCAAGATTACGCATTTCGGTTTAGGGTGCAGGAAATGATTATACTGAATTAAGTAGTTGAAGCATGTAATTGAGTGGGCCCGACATCTTTATCACTATGGGCAATCTGTATTTGGGTTCCGTAATATTTATTACTGTTTGAATGTCTGTATAGCTAGTGTTTTTAAGGCAATTTTTGTGGAAGTAGGGCAAAAATGCAGCTGTAATTTGATAAATATCCGTACTTACTGAAGGTTCTATCATTTTGTGTGGTTTCCTTCAATGTGCAGTGAAGGCATTAAATGAAATAAAGGCGTCACTTGGATGGAGAGTAGTGTACGCGTGGGTTGGTGATGATCCTTGTGGAGATGGTGATTTGCCTCCTTGGTCAGGTGTCACGTGTTCTGCTGTGAGTGGGAGTGATTACAGAGTTGTTACTGAATTGTGAGTTACAAGACTTTCAGTTTCTTTGAGGCTTTCATTTTAGTAATTGCTTAGATGTATCATCAGATTACGTTCTTTGTTATTTTTATTTTAATTATACTAAACAATTACCTTGCAGGGAAGTATATGCAGTTTCGATTGTTGGTCCCTTTCCGCTTGCAGTTACCAATCTGGTGGATCTTACGAGGCTGTATGTTTTCCTTTCTCTTTGTTTGGTGCTATCAAGGAATTCCTTGTATTTCTATGTAACAGAAACCTAGGTCTTCGCATCTTGCTTCCATTCTTTTGTTTTGCATTTTTAAAATCTCCAATATTGTTGGTTTTTGCAGGGACCTACATAATAACAAATTGACTGGACCAATTCCTTCGCAAATCGGACGACTGAAGCATCTTAAGATACTGTAAAGTCCTGCTTTCTGTGTATAATGTACAACATTTTTCTCCGATCCATGATCCATGTCCCATATGATTAGTCTAGCTAAATGAGTTATTATTGTTGGATGCATGCTGAAACACAGGTCAAGGATGGATTTATATAGCTAGTTGTATTAAAATTAGTCTCAGTATCCCAAAGAAAGCATATTCGAAACTACAAGCAAAACATAGTATTTGTTTGGTTATCAACTGCACCATAGGAAAGAGTTTAGTAGAAATGGGTGTGGCTTAATACGATGAATCTTTTAGTTAGTTTTATCAGTAACAAATTATGCATGTCATGGGTATATGCAATTATTTAGTTGAAATGATGAGTTTTTAGTATTCTAGAAAAACTTTTTTCTGGAAGAGCAATGCTCGCATCTATCTTCAGTTTGTTAGGAAGTTTCTCATAATTTTTTGGATCCAGACCTACTTTGCTGGTTTTCATTTAAATTTGTAATCCCTATATTTTTGTTTTGTATTTCAAGTTTTCTTTATATCTCAATTTTGTCTTTCCCACCACCGTTATTGTTGCCTGTTACTGATCATTTTCCCCTTTTGTATCTGTTCTTGTTTTATCAGTAATTTGAGGTGGAACAAATTCCAAGACTCCATTCCTCCTGAAATTGGTGAACTAAAGCAGTTAACACATCTGTGGGTGATGTCAATTATTTCAGACTTTCATGATCTGTTACTTCCTCAATTTTTTTGTTTAAATGAAAGTTGTGGTGCAATTCTGCAGCTACCTGAGTTTTAATAACTTTAAGGGTGAAATTCCCAAGGAACTTGCTAATCTTCCTGAGCTTCGTTATCTTCAACTTCATGAAAATCGTTTGACTGGGAGAATTCCACCCGAATTGGGAATGTTGACAAATCTGCGGCACCTGTAAGATTCTGTCTTAATAATGGGTTCCCTGTGTCTTTCAGTGGTTAGCTTAATCGACTTTCTTCTACAGGGATGTCGGCAACAATCACTTGGTTGGGACCATAAGGGAACTTATTCGTATTGAAGGATGCTTTCCATCTCTTCGTAATCTGTACGATTTCTTAAATATTTCCGCCTTTGAATTTGCTATTTGATTGTTATAGCTAATCTCATTAATTATGGAAGTAATTAAGGGTCTTCAACATTTTAACACTGCAGGTATCTCAACAACAACTACCTCACCGGAGGTGTTCCATCACAGCTTGCTAATTTAACGAACTTGGAAATCTTGTAAGATTCTGTATTTAACAAGTAAATCTGGCTGTTCTTGCAACTTCATATCCCAACCCCATTGCAATTCTCAAATTTTGCAAGTTAACTGCTTGTGTTGGTTCCAGATATATATCTTATAACAAAATGTCTGGAGTTATACCGTTTGGGCTGGCTCATATACCTCGATTGACCTACTTGTAAGTGCACAACATTCATACTGTACGTATATTAACTTGTTCTATATTGGATATTTTTCATATGGTTATGATGGACAGCTTGGTAGCACTACAATGCTTATGAAATATCTCTGCATTAACTTGGCTACCTTTAGAAATCATGTATCAGTTTTTAACGATCTACACGTAGTTATTTAAAGGAGCCCGATTCTGGTCAATTTTAGAACTGCAAAATCAACTATCAAGGAATTTTCTCTTGTTTCCTCACCTGCTATATTTTTATGAACTCCCTCTTGAGAAAAATTGAGGCAAAAAGGTCACCGGTAAGCGTCATTAACAATTAGACTCCTGCTGCAGTGCATGGATCAATGGTAGCCTGAGTCTTTTGGTATGTGACTCTTTTCGTTGTTTTGGTTGTTTTAACTTTCGTCTCTTATTCAGGTACTTGGATCACAACCAATTTTCTGGGAGAATTCCTGATACCTTCTACAAGCACCCATTTTTAAAAGAAATGTAAGTTTCACTTTGCAATTTTACTTTTCCTTGAGGAAATGTGAGATGCATCTTAGTTCTTAAGAAATGATTTGGGCATTTTCGGCCAACTAAGTCTGGGTTTACTTTTTTTTTTTTTCTTTTAATCTGCACAGGTACATTGAAGGAAATTCGTTCAGGCCAGGCGTGAAACCCATTGGTGACCACAAAGTCCTGGAACTTGCAGATTCGGAGTTCCTGTTTTAGGCAATGAATCAACTCGAGTTTTGCCAGAATTGATTTCTGTTAATCATCAATATTCTCGCTCATATGAACATCCCAATTCTACTTGAAAAAAAAAAAAAGAAGAAAAATAATGTCACACGATTCATGTAATGTAGCTCTCAACGGGAGCATCATCGAGGCTGTAAGCTTCTAGGTTTGCCCAAACTGTACATAGATATAAACATCATATTCAGATATACCTTATAGTTATTGTTTTCCTATATTTTGTGGTAATCAACCATCAGTGATACAATGGATAATGGTTCTTTGAGCTCAATTAGATAGTTGTTGTTGTTGTTGTTGTTGTTGTTATTATTATTATTATTATTATTATTATTATTATTATTATTATTATTATTATTATTATAATCTAATTCTTATCATGCCACTTTATAAGCCAAGATGAGAAAAGTTATTAGGCCTCTTAAGCTCATTTCCAGTCAAAGGAAATGAGAGAGAAAGAATTGGAGAAAGAAACCTCAAAAAGTTATCAAGGAATTTTCACATAAGAATGAGCATTAAGATGAAGAAAAGAATACTTGTTTGCATTCATGGGTTTTAAAAAGATGCAAAAACAGTATATGCATGCAAAGCATATCCCATCTTTGCTTGCCTCCTTAAACATAATCATCCATCAAATGTGCCCCCAAAACTTAGGGACAAACCTCAACAGCTTAAATACCATGAACAGCAAGCTGGGTGGTTTACATACTTTATCTCTATTATTCTCGGTTCGAATAAGGCTAACAGTGTGGGTTTGTTCAACTCTGCACCTTCCTTAAGCAGACAACTTCCTCTGTGCATCAGATGAAACTTTGTCAAGTTTCAAGAAGAGAATCGGCTTTGCAGATAACGAGGAGACCATAGGCAACAAATCGAAAAAGCCAACAAATCGACTTTTGCTCATAAGCAGCTGAGTAGAGTCCTACAAAAAAGCAGACTGCAGCAAAAATGGGACAGGGGGACTACTTGGCAGACGCTTGGGAAAAAGAAGAGACTGCGTACATAATAGAACGGTACATGTTGCAAGTCTTATACGTTTTTGACTGAGAAAAACGCATTTTGAAGCCTAATAACTAAAAGGAACCCAAATAATTCTTCAGTGTTACCAATACTCATTTCATGAACTGCAGCATTTGAAATGGTAAATGGGGTCCTTCTGTAATTATGAATAATACTCGGGGAACTATCCGTACGATTTTTCTAAGTTCGTAGAGAACTTATCATCAGTGCCCCATATGACAAAAGCAATTTTCAGGTATGTGAAGCTGAAGGCCACAATTGATAACTGGGAGACCAAGAAGAAGAAAAGAGAAAAACACAAATTAGAAAGAGAACAGGTTCTTGTTTTCCTTTCCCACCATTGGTACTTTCTTCCAATATAAGCATGCAAAAACTAAGATTACACAGAATACAATGTCAAGATAAACCTTTTTTCTGGCCTTTTCTGATCACTTTTATTTTTCTTCTATTCTTTCAGGCTGAATTGGATAAAAGAAGAGCAAAATCCATACAGAGCTACAGTGACAAAATCACAAGAATCGAAGTAATTGCACGAGGAGCTCGAGAACAGGCAGACGAGGATAGGAAACACGAGGAGTCCAAAGTGAAAGAGAAAGCAAATAAAATCAGATTGACTGGAAAAACCCCAGCAACATGCTTCTGCTTCTGAATCTCAACAAGGCCCTGATCTCATTTAACTTTGCAAAATACTGTAAATGTATGTGTGATTTTTATTACTGATATTATGTTTCAACACAGCAGTGTAACTAACTCAGGCAATGAAATTCAACATTGCAAGACAATAATTTACTTAAAAGCTGACAGCTGCTCGGTGCTAGAAACTTTATCAAACAAATATTAAGAACCCAGTAAAAACAAGAAGTACCAATCATGTATCGGCTTACCATTTATACACAAAGTGGAATTACCGGCACCAATGTACAAATAATAGTACAGAGGAAGTATGAAACATGTGCAAAGTCGGTATTCACACACATGCAAGAATAGATCATCTGTGGAACAATTTGGCCCAAAGCTTGCTGTAAAACATAAATCATCATTCATATAGAACACATTTACCCTGATAAGAGGAAAATATAGTTCAAAACTTCATACACAAGGAAGAAAATAAAGAAAAGAAACAAAAATCATGGGTCAGTGCCAAATATCACATCCTACAACCAATGTAGCATTTTAGCAAGATGGAACTTGTAACAGTCAAAAGTAAAAACACGGCTCAAGTTCTGATCTCCCTTCCCAGCCAATCCAAAGCAGTATACGAAAAGTACAGCACCAAAACGGATGGGACAGCGAAAACAATCGTGATTACCAAGTAAAGCAGCAACACAGCACCACTAGCCGGTATTGCGAATAAGACAACAAAAAGCAGCAAAACCAATGGGAACTTAGCCGTCATCTTAAAGAAAAAATCGATGGACTTATGAAATGACAGTTGTACCCTCTCGGACATACTATTGTTCGGGCCTACTCGTTCGTCGCTCGGGTTCTCACGTCCAAGGCGATGCATTCTCCTGTTATTTGCACTGTGAGACGAGAAGCCACTCCTCGTGACTGCCGAACTACACCGTGGGGACCACATCTGCTGACGATCCTTACCACCAATTGAAGAGGGATATCTCGTGGACCGGTCCCCATTCCGGGACTCGACCATCCAGAGAAGGAAAAAGTTTTTTCTTGGAAATCTCAGGGCGCCCCTGTGGGAAATTCGGAAGGTGGGCAATTGGCACCAAGGACAGGAAACGAAAAAGGGGACCCGAATTTGCTGGCCGGAAAATTTAAAGGCTGTCCATCTTAAGCCAAGAACACAGTTCTTGCACAGGGTGTGTCCACACCACAAGACATAGGGCACGTTCTCGACGATGTTGAAAGATTCCCAGCATATGGGGCACTCGAGTCCCTCATCTTCTACGCTAGCATTCGAAGAGGTCTCGTCGTCTGAGAAATCGTGGCAGGTCCTGCCTAGCTCGGTTAAGTTTCTTTTCCGGCCGAAGCCTGGGACTTTATGGGAAATTGACCCCCACATGATGATGAGAGATCAATCTCGGATATCGGGTATGAGTGTTGTTGCTGAGAAATTCAATGTTCGATGTGTGGCGGCTAGGCACTAATTAAACCTACATTACTTGTTGAGAAGTTTAGTCAGCAATCATATGTTTTTTGGAAGGAAAACAGTGAAGAAGAAGAAGAAGAATATAGGCTTAAATTCTAACTATGGTGTCAAATAATGCCACATTTTGTTCTGATTTCTGAATATGCCTCAGCTTTATCCATCATTCATGGCGAGATTATTATAACAAAACAAGAACCAGAACCGATCAGACAACACCAAACCGTACGATTAAATGCGCGATCAAGATCCTAAAGAATATATCACCGTAATGCATGATCAAGGCGCCATTTTTTTCCTCAACAAATGCCGCAAATTTCAGACCTTTACATCAAAATTCTTTCAGATTACACATGAGTGAGCTACAAAAAGACGCACAAAAGATACTGTGATTACTATCATGAACAACCACCATTGTCACAACCTGCGAAGAGGTAGCGCACAAAAACATGTGAAAATTCAGAGAGAACAAAAAAAAGTACCTTATTTTACGAATGGGCTGCCATGAAAAACGTGACGCTACAAAACTGTTGCTGGGTTTTTAGAATGTGGACACGGGTTCTGAGTTTTTGACGAGTATTTCGTTGAGATAAAGGAGATCAAAAGAGAGAAAAAAATAGGTCTTTTTTTCTTCGTTTTTTCTCCCTCTCCTTTCTCTGGTCTGGGGAATTATAAAATTTCGACGCTTTCAGCAATTCATCCAATACGGACGACGTCGTTGCACTCTATGAAATCCTAAATTAGGGTTGGTGAAAGAATAACAATTAGAGGATGTATTCAATTAAAATCTTAAGTGACATTTTGAAACGTTTTAAAATTTGAGATTTGTTAAGATTTCTAAATTTTGGAAAAATTCCGTGAAATCCTTACTCTAGAGGTGAGATTTGAAATGGAATTTGGTATAAGATTTTTTGTTTAGAAATCCCACAAAATCTTAAAAAGCCTTAATAAATCCTAGTGTCAAATTTGCTAAGGAGCCAATTGTTGGCTCCGTTACGGAGCCAACAACCAATTATACAGCTCCATGTCCCACATGACTCTAATGTGGGACAGCCCTACATGGAGCTGTCCCATTGGCTGTTGGCTCCTTTTAGGGAGCCAACAGTGGGTTCCCTAGCATTATTGTTATCAAACCAGTTTTAAATTGTTGTTAGATACACCTATCACTATGGAAGAGACACAAACTGAATTATTAGAAAACTACTAGTGCAGAGCCCGTGCGATGCACAGGTTGCACAATTTTAAGGTTATTTAGCGAGGATTATTATTATATACATGAATAAAGAAAAATGTACGGGATATATATAGTACGTGCTCGTGCGATACACGGGATATATTTATTTGGAGAATATTATATTATAAGATGCAATCTATAGTAATATAAAGAGGTTGTTGGAAAAATACAAGAATAGTAAGGTTGACTATAAAAAATAATGCTTTGACTTACTATTATAAGTAATAACAAAAAATCCACACGTAATTAATGGTATAAAATTTGGATAATTTGATAGGAAATTGACAAGCCATATTTTTTGGTAACTAATTTAATCCCTTTTCTATTTCCTAACTAAATCCGGATAATTTGATAGGATATTGACAAGCCATATTTTTTGGTAACTAATTTGATTCATTTTCTATTTCCTAACTAAATCCATGTGAATCTCTTTGAATTTACAGATTTTTAGGTTGAAAATTGAAATCATTGATATCCCATAAACATTGGAAAGGATTTGAATTTAAAATATGTGAGAATTAAACATAATCCACATATTAAAAACATATTTTGGTAAATCCACATATTTGATTATTCAAAAATTAAAAAATGTGAGATTTGAACATGAATAATCAAATGTAGTTACCAAAATTATTTAATTTTTGTACTACAAGTATATTAAAAACGTATTTTATCTACTACAAATAAACAAATTTTTGGTAGATCAAAATCAATTGATATCCCACCAAAAATTTTGGTCAATCAAAAATCAAAATGAAAATCAAATAATTTGGGTAAATCAAAATCAAATAATTTGTAAAGCATTTAACAATAGATGTTCAAATAATTCGTGGGTATTAATTGAATTTTGTATTTTTTTAACAAAAAAAAATTATAAATATATAATAGGAATAGAAATTTACTTAAAAAAGTAACTAAAATCTCACCAAAAAATATCATTCATACTATTATTCATACATTTTTTTTTATTTTTTTTAATGGGCGACGAACTTTCAATTTGAAATTCAAATTATGAAAACATGTGATAAATACTGAAAAAATTTAATTTTATGTTCATGGCTTGATATATATTCAAATTCAAACGCAAATTAGCTATAAAATCAATCATAAGATATTCATGGATAATTATTTCACAATTTTTTGGATTGTTTGGAGTTAAATATTGCAGCAAAAATCTCGAGATTTGTTAAATGATACATACAAAATAAAAATATTATTTTTCAATTAATCCAAAAAGCCTTACCAAATTAAATTGTAACAAACTCTATTAATTTTGGTAAAAATTATGTCATATTGATATGACACATAATCTTCAAAATAAAAGATTAATTGTTGACTTACTAATATAAGCATTATCAATGGACTCCACATGTCAACCAATTTAATCGGATTTTGGTAACAAATTTGATCGAATTTTGATAACAAATCTCGAATTTTAGTAACAAATTTGATCCTATTTTGATAACAAATCTCGTGTTATGTTAACAAATTTGATCTGATTATGAGAACAAATCTCAGATTGTGATAACAAATCTCGAATTTTGATAACGAAATTTTTAATGTATCCTCTTTTTTTATAACACACGTCATAGTTATATACACACAAAATATTGTCGATAATCATTGGGATTTCTTTTGGTAACAAATTTCACAATTTTTTTGGATTGCTCGGAGTTAAATATTGCAGAACAAATCTCGATATTTGATGAATGATGCATATCAAAATAAAAATATTTTTTTGTTCAATCAATCCAAAACGCCTTACCAAATTAAATTGTAACAAACTCCATTAATTCTGGTAAACATTATGTTACATTGATATGACACATAATCTTCAAAATAAAAAATTAATTATTGACTTACTATTATAAGCAATATCAATGAGCTCCACATGTCAACCAATATAATTGAATTTTTGTAATAAATTTGATCTTATTTTGATAACAAATCTTAGATTTTGTTAACAAATTTGATCTGATTGTGATAACAAATCTCGGATTGTGATAGCAAATCTCAGATTTTGATAACAACCCCTTTAAAACAACAGTTTTCTTTGTAACACACTTTATTTTTATTTACACACAATATATTGCCGATAATCTTTGGGATTTCTTTTGGTAACATATTTCACAATTTTTTCGGATTGTTTAGAGTTAAATATTGCAGAAAAAATCTCGAGATTTTTTTATTTACACACAATTTGATTTGATTGTGATAACAAATCCGGATTTTGATAACAAATCCTTTAATATATGTATATATATATATATATATTTTGTAACACACTTTATAGATATTTATACACTTTTGGATTTCTTTTGACAACAAATTTCACAATTTGTTCAGATTGTTTTGAGTTAAATATTGCAGAAAAAATCTCAAGGTTTGATAAATGATGCATATCAAACTCCATTAATTTTTGTAAATATTATGTCACATTGATAAGCATGATCTTATTTCTTAAGCTACTCCTTTCTTTTTTAACTTGACATTTTGTAACTATATCTCCTTTATGGGTCTATGTAATGAGACATGATTGGTTGTGACAAAGTTCTCCACTCATGCTCTCGGGCGTAAGATATTCACTGGCTATCGCGCAGGTGATAAAGTGTTGATTCCAAGAGTGGCTATAACTCCTTATAATGGTAGAGATCATTTTAAGTTCCAACGTTGATAGTTTCCCATTATGGTTTCTTATGTCATGACTATAAATAAGAGCATGGACAATCATTTGTATGTGGGCTTATTTCTTAAGAAACCAGTGATTTGTCATAGCCAGTTGTATGTTGTTGTCTCCCGTATCACAAACAGAAATGGTTTGAAAATCCTAATTTGTGGCGACGATGACGTGCCAAAGAATCAAACCATGAACGTTTTATATAAGGCAATGTTCAATAATATATAGATTTTATTTCATTATACTTATTAATTTGTTAATTATTAATGACATGATCTTTCCTTTAGTAAGTACTTTGAACTTTAACTGAAAGTTGCTTTTTAAAAGGGACGGAGATAATAACCCCGTGCATCGCACGGGTATTGTACTAGTATTAAATAAAGAGATTTATGATACGTAATTGTACAATAAGATAGTATTCGACAAAGATACAATCATATATTATTAAAGACCTCATTGTACACAACATTACGAGTTTGATTATTAGTCAACTGGTTATTCTCACAAACTAATATCTTCAACCCCTTTCTATTAGTTACACGCGAAACAATAATATATAATAAAGACATTTAATGAAGTGGTATCATGTACTTTTTTTCTACAAACATATTAAATATTTTCATGTTAAGAATAAATAATTGATTAGGAAAGAATATAGAAATTATTAGAAAAACAAAACAATATGGTTAGAATGAGATTAATAAAAATACTTCATGGGTTGAACATTTATAATGGATAACTCAATGCCCTATAATGACTATCACTTATATGATTGAATTTCATGCGCACAAGTAAAATTTTGCATATTCAAGTAAGAAGTTAAAACATATTTTAATCATTGAATGACAAAATGAGAGAACAAAATACATAAAAAAATATTTAAGTTAGTTATCAACTATTATAAATTAATTTCATCATTAGAACTTCACTATATTTAGTTAAGTTAGAATGAAGGGAAAAAAAAATTAACTCATTTTAATAATCAATTACACTAAAACATTTTTT